ATCACCTACCCTAGCAGTCCAAAAAAAAAAAAAAAAAAAGAAGTGGAAGGAGCGAGGGGGATCTGTGGGGAATTGAATATCTGACCGTAAGTTGGCTGGAGAGCACAATATGTGCCTCCGTGGATCACTTCACTCAGTTAGCAAAGAAAGTCACCCACAATTTTGGATGTCTGACCAGAAGTTGGCTGGAGAGCACAATATGTGCCTCCGTGGATACACTTCACTCGTTAAGGAAAGAAAGTCAGATTATCACAATACCCATAATTTTGGCCAGATTCAGTCAACAAGTGCTAGTGTATGTCCTTAGGGTGTCAGGTCCTCATGCATGTGAGCGCCAGACCATAATGGCAAGGGGAATTTGCTAGACGTATCTGACCGCAATGAATGCTAGACGTATCTGACCGCAATGACTGCTAGACGTATCTGACCGCAATGAATGCTAGACGTATCTGACCGCAATGACTGCTAGACGTATCTGACCGCAATGACGGCCAGCTGGATGCATCTCACCGGAATTACGTCTAGAGGTCAGTAGAACGAGTCCTAGTGTGAGTACGCCCTTAGCTTTTCTCTGTGGGCGCAAAGGAGGTGCAGGAAGACTGTACAGTGTATACTGCTTGTTATTCAGCAGGTAGGATGGAGGGGCGACATGACATTGGGCATGGCGACACTGCTCACGAAATGTGCAAAATGGTGAGTGCATTGTCACATGGAAGGTGGCAAGATACGGATAGCCAGACAGAACAGGGGCAAGATACATCTGCTGCTGTGGACAGTGGCAGATGCATCTTGCCACTTTCTGTGTTATGGTGCACTCACTATTTTGCAGAGTAGTGTGGCCAGGCCCATCAGACAAAAGAAAATTGGAATGTGCAGAGAGGGCCTTGTTGTGATGGAATTGCGCATTATATCTGTTCTTTCTCCACATATTGCCAAATGCAAGTAAGACAACAATAATGGCAAGTGTAACATTCCACCTTGTCGCTGAAGATACACCGCCCTGCAGTCATGGCCTTGGCCACGTTTGCACGGCTTTTGTGCGACTTCCATAATCGAATTGAATGGTCTGTTTGCTACCACATGGTGGGAGCAGACGAAAGTGAAAAGTGAAACGATAATGAAGGACAAGAAGACAGGATGGCCTTTCATTATAGCATTTCGTTATAGCGTTATAGTGTTAGGGGGTAACCCCGTTGCAGCCACATCCGTCTTCATGCCGCCAACGAGGGAACATGTGTCAGGGACCATGCCAAGTGGACCTCCATGCCAAGTGGACCTCCATGCCAAGTGGACCTCCATGCCAAGTGGACGTCCCCTACGTTCCCCTCCACCTACGGCTGCTGGCACCGAGTCTGCCTGGGTAGGTATATGAGGCGATGGGAGTCGAACCCATGACCTCCTGAATGCCTCTTGCGTGCCTTACAAACTGACTTTGGCCACTGACTGCAGGGCTTTTGCCCGACTCGTAGTAGGGTTGGTTAATGGAATGGAATGGTCGGTATGCTGCCACGTGGTGGAAGCGGACGAAAGTGAAAAGTGAAATGGTAATGAAGGAAAAGAAAAGACAGAGCAAGAAGAAAAGGCAAAGAGAATGACGTGGACACGAGGGCAGGTGTGGCCCCTAAATGTATTTTCTTTTTTATTTTTTTGGGGAAAAAAGACGAGTTGTTCCATTATCAATTGAAAAAATCAGCCCCTAAATTCCCTAATACTCTTGGCTTTCTTTTTCTGCCCTAAGAACGAACCTTATTACTGGCTTAGAGCCCACCAAGGCAAAATAGGCATGCTTGCTGCAGAGGCAGCCAGGTCACTGCGAAGCACTCCCACTAGCCCTCGCTGGACAAGCATGGTAGCTTAGTGCGCTAGATCCCTGGCGTTTCAACAGGGAGGTTGTGTATTCTGTCGCCTCAACCTCCCCTGCGCACACCGCACACTCAGTTGGTGCTAGGTTGGCACCCCACGCACTGTCCCACAGCCTACCATCTTCCCCTGAACATGAAGGATCTGCGTTGTATTCAATTTTTCCAAAAAACGAAGCGATTTCTGAAAGATCTGCGTTGTACTCAAATTTTCCAAAAAAGAAGGGATTTCTGCGTTGTACTCAAATTTTCCAAAAAAGAAGGGATTTGTGAAAAGTCAGTCCATTCTTCTCAAACAGAAGCACACTTCAATTAGAATGCATACTCTTCGTATTCGAATGAAATGCATGTGCTTTATATTCGGATTTCTGGAAAAAAAAAACGTTGTATTCAAATAGAAGTTATAGAACATTACTTCCTTTTTCTTTTCTTTTTCCTTTTTTTTAACCTCGTGTTGGGGGGATTACCACTTTAGAAGGTGATAAAAGCATCCTTCTGAAGTGGCTCCCTTACTGGAGGGCTCCATCTATTAGTTCCTTCTTTTTCAATTTTCAAATTTGTGCCTACCACAGCTCTGCTCACGCTACAGGGACGGCCACCTCCACCTCCTGGTGAGTAGCAGGAACCTGCCTGCCCCTGATCACAAACATGCTAAGGGTTGGCCCACAATAGGGCCTGGGCCCTGAGGTACTTGTTGACGTCACACGACAATGCTTACTGGATCCGATCTCTTTATCTGAACAGTGTTGGTAGAATATGATCTCTCTCTTCTATCTTTTTTCGTGTCGCTCTTTCTTTGCGAGATAACAAGACTATCTTGAGGGGGGTTGAACGGTAAAAGGTTTGACTATGGTAATTACATTTGTTGAAGTTTGTTCCTAGTTCTCCTTCCGGTTTTTGAGATCTGGAGGATTGCTGAAACGGATTTCAATCTTGATAACTTAGGAACACAACTCTTCCGGTAGTATAAGATCCAGTCTCTGGGAACTACATCTACACTTACTTTTGATGGTGGTTACTTTTGTTTCCGGGACTTAGCAGTGTTTCTGAACTGGTTAATGTGAGATGTTTGCAGGATTGTGACACCTTTGTGGTTGCTGATGACAATCAGGATGATGCATAGTAAGTGCCTCTAGGGTTTTTTGATACGACATAAGCTTTGAAAAACATTGACGCACTGTCATGTCAAGCGACCAAAGACTCATGAAGAGTGTTGGTGGCAACCAGCTGAAACTGGTCGGGTTACACTCTGTTGGACACGCAGATTCACATCGTTTACAACCAACACAATCTTTGGTTCTAGGAGCTGAAGCAATTTGTTTGGCCTTGAGTAGTACAATCTTGTGCAATAAAAGCATATGACGGTAATGAATACATATGTTGAGCTACCAAGGACGTGATCACTCGTAAAGAAGCTAATGCAAGTCCTAATTGAAAATGAAGAGAATTATTTAGGGTGTCATATAAGCCATTATGACCACGTCCAAGTCTTCCTCCAGGRGGTGTATGAGCTTCTAATATTTCTTTTATACTATGGCCAATCCCAAAGTTTGTACAGTACATATGACCTGCAACAATAAATAAAATAGCAATAGCAAGATGGTGATGAGCTATGTCTGTAAGCCACAAACTTTGATGGGTTTGTCGGAAAAGGACAAGTGAGGGGATATCGATCACTAGCGCATCGGTCCCACAGGGGGACCCTCCCGGCCGCGTCACGGAGGATTCGTGCATGACTTTTTACCGCGGTGGAGCTTGTCACCGCTCCAGACGAGTGCGCCAGCCATACCTCTCGCGAACCCCTACGACAGGATAGGGCCACGCGAGGTACAACTTACCTCCGCCTAAGGGGCTGTCACCACCCTTGGACGGGCGTATGCCCCCCGAGCTACCGAACCACGTGCGAAAGCTGCCCAGTTGCAATTGCAGAGGTGGCCCATCCGAGGGCAGTTGCACCTATGTTTGAAGAAAGAGCGCAATCGTCTGAAACATCAATAGAAAAAAAAAACGAAAACAAACAAAACTGCACCTACTGCACCTATGTATGAAGACAATGTGCAATCTCATGAAACATCGATGCGAATACACATCTAGTCATGAGTCAGACGGGCTGCACATGCTGCACCTATAAACACATGACCTCATCTGAAGTACTAAAGGTACTATACACTACTAGGAAATAGAGGACAGGAGAGGACCAATGATGAGAGTAAGCATCATCGTCGTCCACAATGTCCTTCCTCCTCCTCTGCGGCGCTGCACTACTGGTACCATCCTCGCCACCTGTGCCACCTACCGGCCCGTGCGCGGTGTCCAGAACACGAGTCCCTCCCTCTGCTGCCCCCTCGACCCCGCCCCGTGCTTGAAGAAGGTCGTATACGGAAACCCTCTTCCGCTGGCCAATAGGCATCTCCAAACCGTCGATACCCGATTCCCAGCCAACGGGTGTCTGTCACGATCGCAGCGTCGTCAATGCCCTTACATCCAACCCCAATATACGTCCGGCCATGCTCCTCCCGGGGGTGTGACTGTGCTCGTCATGCTCCTCCATAGCGGTAGTGGAAGTCCGCCCTCCAGGACGTGGCACCGCCGCCTCAGCAGGTGCGCTCATTGGCTGCTCTGTCCCTCGGGTAGATACCCCCTCCCTCCAACCTACTGCATCCGCGACAACGTCTCCGCCCAATGCCTCCCGAGTCCGCGGATGTAAGCCGACCAACCCAGGCTGACTCGCCCGCATCTCGTGGGTCACCCTCCTCGCAGTACTAAGACCCTTTCCTACTCTCATCTTCTTCTTCCATGACTTGGGAGAAGGAGACTCCCTTGCAGGTGCCGATGCGGGACTCAGTGTTGGGCCTGGACCCTCGGCATGTGTGGGCAGAATGACATATGTGGTAGACGATCGCACTGATGGGCTGCACGGCACATAAGCTGGGCCCTCTACCATGACCCTCCTGGATGCCTCATCCATCAGTCCGCGTCGATCTGCCCTCAATGGGTCCTCCCGTGCCTGCCGCTCTAACTCCTCCGCTGACAAAGCTCCAGTGAATGGAAATACACAAACACCATGAACTGGCGATGCAGGTCTCTCGTCTGCATCCCCACCGACCGCACCGTCACACTCAACCTCTGCATCCTCCGCCGTACAATGACCCGCACCATCACCCGTCTCGAGCATCTGCTCTGCACGGGCCCTCACTGCAATACTCTGTGTCATCTCGCAATGCCTGGCCAACTCCAGCGCCCTTTCCCGCTCCTCTCGGTCGGCCCTCTCCTTCTCTGACTCAGGCACTCGCTCCTGCACAGGTCGACAACCCCCATCATCCCCTACTACATGCTCATGCTGCCCCAACGAACCATGTGTCTCCTCCGCTACCTCCCGCAACATGCTGCTACTGATGTCACCCATGATGCATGAAGGAAAACCTCTAAGGATTTGACTGATGGGCGTAGCCTGTGCGTCCACACCACCACTACCACGCTCGCCTGCCGCCGCTGCCGGCGTTGGAGGAAGCCCCAATGAAGCACCAAACATGTCGTCGTTGAAACTAGCACCGAACTGTGCAGATGCCCTCCCAACCTCTGCAGCCACACCATCAACCTCTGGAGACCCAACTGCAGTCTCTGCTGACGCTGCAACAGCCTCTGCAGACGCGGCAGCAACCTCTGCAGACCCCTCTGCAACCTCTGCCGATGCAGCAACAACCTCTGCAGACCCGACTGCAACCTCAGCAAACTGAGCAGGGGAGGCTGCGACCTCTGCCGACGCGGCAGCAACCTGTGTTGTCGCGGCTCCCTCATCAGCCTAGTGTACAGTGCGAGTGGATGATGCAGACTCTCGCCTCCCCCTTCCTCCAGCAGCACCGCTTGCACCACATGTACACCCCCAATACCTGGCCCGCTGCCTCCCCTGCCTGCACCACTGCATCGGTCACCAAGGTGTCTCTCGGACCTCGGTAAACCACCTGCAGGTTGTGTACCGTCGCCGCCGTCGTCGTCGTCATCACCACGTCGGCGTGTCGGGGAATAGTCGGGATCATCATCGTCCTCATTGCTGCCCTCGTACCCCCTCCCGACATCGTCGTCGTCGTCGTCTTCTCCCTCCTCAGCATCTCCCCGACTGCCCTGCTCGTGCCCTCAACCTGATCCTCATGGCCTTGCAGTGGAACGTCACGAGCACTCGAAGGTCGAGGTGGAGGGGGGGGCTGCACAGTGCCTGTACTGAAAGCACGCGTCCGAGGACGCATCATCTCAGTGAGAGGAGCGTCGTCGTGGTCCTCATCAGAACCTTCTGGCTCTCAGTCCATCGCCAGGTCATCCGGATCGGACCACGGCTCCGCCTCCATCTGGTCCTGAGCCATAGGATCAAGCTCGGGATCGTAGACCGAGTCCAACTCAGTCGGCATGAGCACCGTGGGGCGACGATCGAAATACGTCTCCACGTTGGGCGGTGCCCTCGAAAGACGATCCCTCTGCCCGCGTTGCACCTGCCACTCACGTTGCGCCTCTGTGACTAGGTCAGCTGGCCGAACACCCTCGTCACGAGGCAGAGGAATAACGTCCTCTGTCTCCTCATCGTCCTCCCATGGCAGAACGTACCCCGAACCCCTCCCCTGACGACAACTCAATCTCAAGTTGGTGGATATCTGATCATATCTCCACCAATCCAATAAGCTTGATGAAACCAAGCTTGTTATGCATCTTCACCTGAACACGCTCATGGATGACTCAGTTCCTCTCGGCGGGAGAGGCGCACGTCCATGTGTGCGTCAGGCGAATGGTGTAACTCTGAAGGAGAGGGACCCCATCCCCGTGTTGCACCCACCACTGCCTGACCTGCGACGTCTCCTTCTCCCCTCTACAGGAGGTCGCGTCCTTGTCACCCTCAACCCTTCCGTACGTCCAATCGCCCTCCCGACTATGGGACTCCGCCAGCTGCGTGCGCAACGTATGATACAAATCCTCGTCATCGCCAGTCTGCTGGCGAAGGTATCGCAGTGCCTCCTCAGCTAGTGTCTTGTCGTGCTCGCTCCACCTCGCCGCTCCGAAAAACGTGATGCTCCTGTGGCGCGGGTTGAGGAGGTGGGCCATGCAATGTGCCGGCTCCAACATATGATCCACCCGTGCCTAACAAGCTTGAATGACGATGTGGAGCTCCTTCGACGTCCTTTTCAGTCTCGCTCTTGCCACCCTGTCAACCATGGTAAGGGCCCACGACCACATGCGAGTCATGACGCGCCCCCTCTGTCCAAATGACGTAGCAACTGCATCACAGGCGTCATCAACTCCACGATGTCCTCCACGTGCTCCCAAAATGGCGCGTACCGCACCTGATGACGCACCCACTTAACCTGCAAGAAAATGGACCTCCTCCATGCAGTCCGCAACCAATCATCGCTCATCATCAACGCCTCCAGCGCTCTACGACGATCTAACAACCTCTCCAACATCAAATAGTGTGTGGCAAACCTCGTCTGCGCAGGGCTATGTATCACCTGCGGTCGTGACCGCGGGCCATTTGACCGCACGTGGTCGGCATCCCGACCGCAGCGGGCGGTGCCCGCGGCCAAGTGAGGTCAGAAAACCCCGACATTTTTAAATCCTGGGATAGTACGCCAAAAAATAAAATAAAAATATGGGGTTGTAGGTTTTTATGCGTTCTACAACCGTATATTTTTAGTCTTATTTTTTGACTTCTTTTTCGATAAAAAATAAAAAATAAAAAACAAAGATTCCTCAGGCAAAAAGTTATTCACTTTATTCTTTTAGTAAGAAAAATAACGGATTTCGTTTGATTTTTATCTCAAATTTGGTAACGAATTCTGATATGACTCCAAGGCAAAAGTGTTTAGTTTTGGTCATAACATATATTTTTCAGATTTTTCTGATTTTTTTATTTTATTTTTATTTTTTTATTTTTTATGACTGCGGCCGAGACCGCGGTCCACGGTCGTGCCCGCGACGACCGCGACCACGGGGGATTCATAGGCGCAAGGTACACAAGCTCTTTGCCTCGCCGTTGAGTCTGGGGTGGTGTAGCGCTGGAACTCGCCGCAATTGCAGAGGCGGAAGACGGCTGGGCAACAGAGTACCATCGATAAAGGCTGAGAGCCGCTCTATGCTCTCTGATGAAACGCACGACCGCTCGAGCCCTGATGATGGTGTCCTCCCTCTTTCCAATCTTCCCGTTGGTGTCGTCCTTTGCGATGTCTGACAACAACCAGCTGCAGACATGGATTGCACAATGAAGCCAAGTGATGCGGCTGTACTTCACCTCCTCCTTCGCGAGGAGCTTGGAAGCAGCCACATACGCCGACACAGAGTCAGTGCAAATGGCGTTGACATTCCGACACCGAACTTATCGAACACGTCCTTCCATCGCTCCACCACGGCCTCGGCAGTTTCCCTAACAGCACCGTCGCGCTGCACAGTCCTGGAAAGGTAGGCTCTCATGGGTCCAGCAGCAAGGAAGTTAACTATCTGGTCACTCGTGATGGATTTGCGACCATCCATAAGGATAGTCGCTCTCGTCGCCGCAATGTCCTTGCGGCCACCAACTCCACCACAACTCGCTGTTGCTTAGGGATATTGTCGCCCGAAATCTCACGGTGCGTGGGCAACGCAGGATATGTGTACGGCGGACACTCAAGCAAGTGCTTCCTCCTTCTGTGGTACTCTGGCCTCCTCGCCGCCTCAAATGGAATGTCGCTCACGTAGTACCACTGCAAGAAGTAGTTGGAAAAATTGCGTTGCCAGACCGGATTGAAGGCCTCGACCATGGAAATTTGTCGAAGGACTTTTCTCTTCTTCGTCACAGGGGGTGCCGCTGGAGTCCCCTTGCCTCCATCATTGCTCTGGCTGCCCCCTCTTGGCCTGAACGGGCACCGGTCATCAGCCCCCCATCATAAGAGGCTCCAATGTCCGTATCCTCGTCATCGTCGTAGTCCTCGCCAGGAATGTTGTCCTCGTCGACAGCCTTCTCCCCCTTCATCTTGCCCCTGGCTCGATCCACCTCTCTCCGCACGTCCATGGTCGGCATATCGCTGTCATCATCATCCGCTCGACCCTCGGCCCCCCTCCTCTCGTCCTCGCTGTCCTCCTCCTCCTCCCCCGCCTGCTCTCTCCCCGAAGTACATCTGATGTCTCGATATCCACGAGACTTCAAGAAGTCGAGGATCTTCTGGCAATGGCTCTGATCGAACGTATAGTTTGTCTTGTTCCAAATTTCTGCCAGCTGCTCCACAAAGACTTTGGGGCAATTGTTCTTTATCGTGAAGTGCGCAGCGGCCTTCGTTTGACTGCCCTGAAACCCCTCACCACACAATTTGCACTCCATGAGGAAATTCCCATTGGAGCTCGGCAGCGTTTGGCCCTTCGTGATCCATTTGAACCCGCAGAACTTCAACTCCGCCGCCCTCTGTTTGTCTTTACTGACAGGGACAAAGGGCTGCCATCGGCTGGTCTCCCCTTCCTTTCCTGGGCCCCATTGCAGACAGAGCACAGACAAAGGGCTGCCGTCGGCTGGTCTCCCCTTCGTGATCTCATTTGTTTGCGGGACGCTAAAAGTCGGGTCATAATTGTGTCTCAGGCTGCAATACTGCAGGTTTACGTAATGTGTATTTGAGTCTCATGAAGCCTTCCGAATCTCCATTGGGAATCTTCATAAGTTTGGTGTTGGTTGCAATGGTTTGTGTTGGCTGAGATGGTTGGAAATAATGCGCTCTGCGGCGAAGGGGCGAGAGATGGTTAACCGACCCCCCATTTTTCACCTCAATTTATAAGAAAACCATAAGGCCATTTCAGGATCATTCATGGTTACCCAGGGCTGAAAAGTGGGGGTCCCCGTTAACCAATAGTGGAAGGGGCTAGCCTGTAGGGTGGAAATAGGGCACAACGGCGATGGATATGATGACTGAGAAGGAATATTGTCGGTTGATGCAACCAGTGCCTGGAGGAGCTGAATGATCGAAACTACAACTATGTCGATGATTGGGGCTTGGCTGTTATCTGGTGATGTCCTTGGTCCTGGTGGTTTGCGAATGGACGAGGCCATAACGACGCTGGGAGACGCTCAACTTTACTGTAGATGGAGCCAGATGGATGATCCATGGGTACTTGGGTACTTAGGCAGTGTCCGGGGACAGCGACTCAGGTAGCGTTTCCTCCAGGGATAATGGGCGGGGAGAAAGGGGTCTGCGAATTCCTAGGCTTGACGTAACGGGTCGCTAGGTTCAATCTTTGTCCACTCATGAAAATACAGTCGATAATCCCTTACAATCTTTGTCTGATGTCCCCCTTGCGGTCCCACTTCCTCCTCCTGTCGATGTTCCAATTTCCCATCTCCTCTCCCATCCCCTGCCCAACTCACCCTTGCCACCCAGCCGTCCCTCTTCCCTCCCAACCAGTCCTCGCAGAACTGAGAGATAATTCTATTGGCATCGCCCCTAGTGTGCACTTGATTCAATTTTTCCTTAGCCGCCCCCCACTGCGCGGTAATCTCGTACTGAGCTAACAACCGTAATTGCTTCGTGACCTGCCCATCTTCCACCCTTGCTCCCTCTACTTCAGGATACACCTTCTTCACCATATAACCCACAGGACGGTGTCGGCACCGCATATGGCAGCGCGGGACCCTCTCGGCCGCGTCACGCTGGAGTTGGACCAACCTCGTTACGAACACACAGAAGAAGCTTCCTTAGGCCGCTCCGGCCGAGTGCGCCAGCTATACCTCTCGCGAGCCCCTACGACAGGATAGGGCCTACGCGAGGCACAACTTACATCCACCTTACTGGAGCTGTCACCTCCCTTCGGTGGGCGTATCCCCGTCGAGCTACCAATCCACAGTACGAAAGCTAATCAGTTGCAATCGCAGAGGTGGACCAGCCGAGGGCGTTTCTCGTTCGTTATAGCATAGGGGGCACGCGTGGTAATACGCCTATCGGACCCGCACGCGAACCGACATCTTGGGGGGCTGAAGTCCCAAGCGCGGCTCGTCGTCGGTCGACTAGGATGCATCTCACACACCACGAGCACGTCACTCTATGAACACAAAAAAAGAACACACACACATACACACGGGACGACACAACACAAACAACGTGACAACGCTCCTAGCCCTTTCAGTGGTCATCCCATAACTTTCCCCCACGGGAATCGAATAGGCGTCGCGCGCGAGATTTAGTATAAAATCGCGTGGACGCAGGACCTACTCATATCGACTAGCAATGCAAACGTATGCAAGCAGTCGCAATGATGGCGTACCATGTAGTACCGATACTTGCGCGGCCCTCGTTAATCTCGGGGGTCGCGTTCGACACTCAAGTGTCGGTTGACACGCGCCTTGAGGGTTAATCTCTCGACAACGGACAACCGCCATGCGCGGTTGGAGACCACACACCCTCTTCTGCACTCTGTGCAGAGCGGGTGGTACACAGGTTCATACATGTGGTGACAGTCGTTTCTTGCGGCCCTGGGGGTAAGTCCTACTCCAGGCTTGGACGGAAGTCAAGGGGTTTGACTTTGACGTCTACCACGGACTACAACGTCCAACCATGAAAACTCTAAAAAGCAAGGGATAAAGGATAGGCCGGAGGTTCCCTTATTCCAATAGAAATCATGATCTGGAGGTACCCCTCCCCCTTTTGGGGTGGTGCCCGCGACCTATACTAATCCCAAGCGTTTGCGCATATGTGTGAGTCTCTTCGATCCCATAACCTTTAGACGCTAGGGCAGGGGAACACCGCACACGAGATTCTAATATAAAGTCGCGCGGCTGCAGGCCAATCTCATACCAACCATACGATGTCGGTCATACGTGGTAATCACGGCTCCGGCCTCGCGATATTGAATGGCTGAAGGAATATATCTTGAGGGGTCACCCCTCACGATATTGAACGGCTGAAGGACACGCGTTCGGCCCTCGCGACATTTACGCCTTCAGGGTTGGGTGTTTCGACGGCCAATGAAGATAGGCTCTGTACAAGGGAAAGTTCCTCCCCTGCAGGGCCTAGGGCTTGGGATGTCATGGACAAGGACCTTGAATCTCAGCCCAGGACCAACGTCCGACTAAGAACCCCCCAAGAAGCAAATAAGCAAAAGGAAGGGTCTTCCCTATGCCTCTCAGTCTTAACCTCTAAGCGGACTTTTAACGCGGGGCCCTTTAGGCCTTGCGAACACCCACCATAGGTACACCCAAGCATACACGCATAAGGGAGATAGAGTTGCGACGATCACTTCTCACAGGCACAGTGGGACTCCTCACAACCATTGTATATATATGGGATCGCAGACAATCCAAATCAAAATCTGAGCCACAGGACATACCTGCAGTCACATCGAGAATCGAACGACAAACACGCACTACACGGAGTCAACCCCAACCGATCTCCGAACTCATACCCCTTGCTTTAGCCATGCAAGCCCCAACCTCCTGTCCAACCAACCATAATTAAATACTTAGTACCTTTGTTAAATGACCATTCAATAAAAGTCTGGGTGAAACCCCTAACAAACAATAGAGTCACCAGGGCTAAAGCCTTTTAGGTTGAGTATGGAGAGTGGATTGGAATTGAGTCGTAGACCGATGAATCGACAACCGACCTGTTATCAGTGATCACAGCATATGATCCTCGTAGGATCAAGCTGAAACTAGCTCAAATCTTGAATCAGCCGATTGAGAGGGTCTGTAACACATGACAGGCCAATTCCCAAGCTAAGCCTATAAGTCCTTGGAGGATAATCACGATCCTACTCTAAAAATTTGTCTAGCTAACTGAGTCTAAGTCTACTCTTAACCGGTGCCCAAAGCAAAGGTGGACCTTGGCAGAGTCTCCCATATTCAGGGTGGACCGCCAGAATTGCCACCTGTCAAAATATACTCTATCTCCCCTACAACTAAGAAAACTTCGGCAGCGCTTTCCGTAAGAGAAGTGTCTTTTCAGAATTTGTATCAGCCCGAATATGAAACCAGAAATAGCCTTTGACTTTTTAATGTCCAATTTTGTCCAACTCTCTGAATTAGCAAAAATTTGGGCAGCACTCCCTTTAGAAAAGGGGACTTCCCAGATTTTTATTAAGCCATATACGAACCTTAGACAATTCGAACTTTGAAAAGTCGGAATTTTGGCTAACTCCTTAGATTTGCAGAAATTTCGGCAGCGCTTCCCGTAGAGAAAGTAGCTTACCAAAATTTATACAATCCCAAGTATAACAAATGATCTCAGAAAATGCGAGAATCGATCTAAATAAAATAACGTCGACTCAGAAAATGTAGAAATCGACCTAACTTCTATCGCTCTAGCACGTGACGAGCCTCTAAAGCAACTACCTATCAACCTGAAACTCAACCCAAGTACTAGCCTCACTCAGCCACATGCAATGTCAACCACAAAGGTAAGTACTCTCACCAGCCCCAAGTCAACTTAGAAAACAATAGTTCGTAGTCCTTCAACGATTTAACCCTTTATACCCAGCTTACATAGGGCGTAAAGTCAGGCCATCTAATCTTATGGAACATGCCTGGCCCAACCATTGAATATACACGAACAGGTTGCACGACCACTTCTCTCTTCCTTTTGTTCATATGACTAAGCCATTCATCTTAGAAACAAAGCTTAGTCGCCCTGAACTGTTTAATATCCCAGTTATATATACCTCTCTGACTTAGTGTTCAAACGTTGGGCGTAGGACTGAGTCATTCATCTTAGAAACAAAGCTCAACATGCCCACAGTTACCTTTTAGTTATACTTTTAGTTATACTCTCTTCAACTTATGATAAACTCTAGTCAAGCCATCCAATCTTATGAAACCCGTGCCTGACTAGCCTGTTCATAGATAAAATAGTAATAAAGTATAGCCAAGTTATAACCTCTCAAGTTCCAGCATGTGCGAGGCATTGGGCCAGACCATCCAATCTTATGGAACATATCTGGTCCTTTGCCAGGTTCGTTTCTTTCTGAACCATCTGTGTGCGGCATGAGTCCAAAGTCATCCAATCTGATGGAACATGCTTTGTCCTCAGCCAGAATTATCCCCTCAGAATAAAACAACCAAAAGAGTTGAACCATTCATCTTAGAAACAAAGTTCAACCCTCTTTTCTCAGCACAAAAAAGGCAGAGCACTCTGAGTTAACCCCAGAGGCTGTTCAGAAACCACCCAAGAATAAACAACGACCAGACCATTCATCTCAGAAACAAAGTCTGACCCTCAAATTTGCACAGTCAAAAGCCCACAAAATTAGTAGCTAGGCCATTCATCTTAGAAACAAAGTCTGACGAAATTAAATAAACACAACGACCAAGCCATTCATCTTAGAAACAAAGCTTGGCCTTTTCAGAAAATCAGAATAAACACAGCGGTCAGGCCATCCAATCTTATGGAACATGCCTGACCCATAGGACCCGTTCAACCTCAAGCAAAACCACCTTTCTCCCACCCTTCCCCCAGATGCACTCCTTTGTTCACAATCTGCCTTCACGCAATCAATAAATTAAAACTGAGATTGCACACGCGTTCCTTTACTTAGTTTGATTCATGTCCTGCCAATCAAGCTAGTCAAAATAGGGGTGCATGCAGTATACTCAGTCAACATAGCAAAGTGTACAGATAGGGGCTATATCTGGGTTTCTAGAGAGAAAGCAATGGTTACCTTTCAATTCCCTGCCTCCAGAACTCCCCCTGAGTTCCGGCAGAGCTCCCGCAATCGGTGGGGTGAACCTCCCACAGAGGCCTTGGCGCGGATTACGGGTTGCAATCCCACCTGCCGCCTTCCTCTCAGAACCAAGGGACTACACTTAGAGGAAGAAGGGCAGAAGTAGAAGCATTTAGTCTCTCAGACACAAGAGGGGTGCACTTAGACTCGCAGGAGAGGACCTTCTAATCTTCAGCGCCTGAAGGCCCCACAACGGCGGCCAACGTACCCGCTTGGTCAACTCTGAGTCAACTGCTGAAGTCGCACGTCTGACGACTCCCCAACCTGCAGCAATAACCCCTCCTTCCAAGATCAATCACTTCCCTAAGCCTATTCGTCGTAGTACCGTAGACTGCAACAGTCAGCAACAACCGCCGCGGTATGCCATGGTACGCAGCGATCCAACAGCAGGTGCGAGCAGTGTGCGACCTCCACCAGTCGGCCACAACCTAGGAACAATCAAGGGTCGTAGCTATGCAGAGTCAACAGCAACAGTCCGCGGGCAGTCCGTAGCAACAGCAAACAGTCATTGTGCAGCCCGCAGCGGTCCTGCTTTCCACCAACTTCGAAAAGACTCAGTCTACAGTTTCTCATGCGGATGCCGCCAACGGCAAGCAGTCCATGCACAACCAACACTACCACCGGGGCATAGCGTTATAGATCCGCAGTCCGTAGCCCGCAGCGCGGTAAGCAGCCGTAGCCCACACCTGGTCAGTCGTAGTAGTAGTTGTACATAGTAATGCAGATCAGCAGCAGCCACCGCGGTATAAAACAACACCAATGAGTGTGGCACCCCTCGGCCCGTAGTCCACAGCAGTGCGCGGCAGTGAGCAGCGGCACGCAGCAATATGCAGCGGTATACCGTAGCATACAGCGGCTTACTCACAACAGCCCACCACAGTCCGCAAGCAAGCCCTGCAGCGCGCAACTTAATCAATAGTAACAACCGCTCGCTGCACAACGCCCCCCCCCCCCATCGCACGCCAGGCTTCGGCCCTTGTTGTCTGCCCAACGCT